ATATATATATATATCCGCATGTATCCACAAGAAAAGCATTCGAAATTAAAATAACAAACTCATTTTTGTATGACAGAAAGAGGATGGGACTCAACACAGAGCTTTGAGGAATCCCCACATGCACTTCTCTATAATCTCTTTTAATATTATTACCTAAATTATTGCATAAGTTAAAATGACATATCGTTTACGTTTTTTAAAAAATGAAGCAATCCAGTTGAGGCTACATCATGTGTATCATGTACGTCAAGATTAGATAGCAATTTCTCATGATTCGTACAGTCGAATTAGATGAAATTTGATGTGTAGATATTACATTTTTATATTGTAATTGAATTTTTGTATTGTAATTAAAGTAATCGCATTTAGAGGAATAGAAAAAGTTTCTTCAATCTGATCTGATCTGATGAATATGATCATATTTTTTATAGGCCATTTTATAACTTCTATTTTTATTTTATGTTTTTAAGTTTTTTCTCTGTAATGTAAATATGTTGTACTTGTAATGGTTGTCGCGTTATTAATTACATAATCCCTGTTTTCAAAAAAAATAGCGGTCTTAAGGTACTATGGTTTTTTGGGTTGTTATACTGTGGCTGCTATGCCTGTAGTTGCCATCAGTTAGAGATTCATAATACACTTCCTCAACCTTAGTTAGAAATGTTTATCCTGCCCCTGTTCTATCAAAATCCCTAGGCCTACCTTGATGTTGATTTTTGAACCTCAGTTACAGCGAATCTTTTTCAGAATCACCACTGAAGATGCTAGCAGTGAAGAATGATGAATCGATTGGAAGCATTAGATGCCATCAGTTACAGAAGCCACTACGGAAGGTCCCGGAGGACGGGCCACCATTGTCTGAGGAGCAGTTCCATCCGTAGCGGTCTTGGAACCAACAAGAAGAACCGAAATCAATATCAGAGTTGGTCTAGGATTGTGATAATGGGTCGGTCCCCAGAATGCCTAGATCAAGAATAACAAGGGCGAGTCGAAGATTCCTAGCTTAGCTGAGGTTAAGGAAGTGTATTGCAAGTCATTTTCTAACAACGACAAGATACATAAGTCATGGTATAACAATCCGGAAAACTATGGTACCTGAGATAATAAATTTATTCAACAGTTATAGTTTTTTAGGTGTTTTATTTATTTACTAAAATATTAACTATTTATTCGTTTTAAATTAAAATAAAAATTGAATTGTGAAATTGGATTCTACTACCAAAACTAACACAAGGAGGCGTATTCTCTTTGTGAGACATCATTCAGTAGAGCAAGCAGTAGAAGAGGTAGCATTAGCAGTAACTGTAAAACAAATAGTGGTAGAGGCGGCGTCAGCATTATTGTTGTCGTTCAAAGTTATTCTTTTCCGTATCTTGATTTTCTATAGAAGAAAATCTTTGACATATCCTTCATCTGCGAATTGAATGACCGATATATGTTTCTAGATTTTTTGGTTTTAGGAATCTAGAGACATTTATAGTATTTTTCCGGAGTGTTAATGGGTATAGGTTCAACGGAAATTCTTTTTGTTCTGTAGTAAAGAAGCAGTCGGTTGGTTGATGTTTTCTTTGGTCACAGATGTAGGTACTTATTTTGGCTAATGCCAAAACCGTTATTTAAAACCGTGGAAGAGCGCTCTAGCGAGTTTTTGTGAACGGGAGATGAACCAGTAGAACATCACTTTTTTCTTGTATATCCTAAATGTTCTTCACTAGTTTGTCACATCTGCACCCACCAGCAACAGTAAAAACAGCAACCACCTAAAAATAAAACTAATTTAGTAAATCAACTTAGAAATAAGTAAAAAAAAACATTGATAAAAAACCATCTGGCGCATCTACAAGAAATTTGTTGATTTTTTTCTATTGATAGAAAACTGACAATGTTTTGGTTGTGTATCCATTGTGTTTGTGTTTTACAAAACCAGGAAACTTGTAATATTTGCTGATATCTTCGTTTTCGTAGACGTTTAACTTAGATTTGAGCATTGAATACTATGTCCACTTAGTCGGGGCATGACAAAATAACAAGACAAGATGACAATTTTTTGACACCTTTTTAAAAAATTAACCAAGAAAACTTCATCCTGGTTTGTTCGTACTGCACTTCTTGTCTTCCCTTAGATTTTGAGAGAACTAATCCAGAGATGCATATTCAGTTATACTAGAAGTCGAATATTTTTTGGCAAATATATCATTACAGAAGATATCCTTGACTACCGTGGTAAGCAAAACTTGACTGCTTGACTTTTTAAACTATGTAGATCTTTAAGTTTGTTTTTCGTTATCAAACTGCAACTGTCGGATAAAACGTATATGTCAAGTGAGAATGATGTGCAATTATAAGCATGTGAGAATTTGGCATATTCGCGCAAGCCCCCGTGCGTGAAACTTCTCGTATAAATGGTTAAAAACTAAATTATGTTGAGTTCAGAAACATTTAGTAACAAATTATTGGAAATATTTAATTTGGTGATTTTTTTCCATGAGCACTATACAATTTAAATTCTAGTAGTAAATTCTTGACTTGAGCTCAACTCAAACAATAAATTACTTCGTTTACGTTTGGCCTGAACTTTATTGAACGAATTAAAGTAGTACCACCAGCGAACTGCCTTTTCTTTGTATTAACGGAAAATTGGAGGAGTATAACGCCCGAAGTATATATGAGGAAATAAATAAAAGTGTACCACCTGATGCAGACATTTTTCTGCTTGACCCTCGCCGCCCCGGGTATCCAAAAGTGGAATGAGCCCAGCGTGGTCGATTAGTCGGGCCCTAAATGATTTATCATCGCGCAAAACTTGCTAAGGCGAATTATGAATCGGATTAAGTTAATAAAAACTGCCACAAATATTTCCAGTTTTCATGCCTCAGCCGAGAAGTATAAAGCTGTCGAGATGAACACTTCCTTTTCTTAAATTAAATAATAGGCTTTGGATAATAAATTTTCCAGAAAGGGGAGTACTGCAAACAAATGATATTTATTGAGTTAAGCCAAGCTGCCAAGTCAGCGAAACAAATGTATTTTTTGAGAATAGGAACAAAGGCTTAAATGAATGTACAAACGAAAGGAAAATAACATGATATAGTTCTTTTCTTTACACATAGGTATTTTACAGGGTGTAAAAAAAGTAGCTAAAATTTTTACATACAGCCAAGCAGCTCTCAAAGCTCTCGAATCTTGCCTGTGTAACTTCTGAACAGTATGGAACTGCCAATAAGCTCTGACGAAGTTAGAAGATAATAATACAATGGGTACCTGGTTGTTCAGGTCTACATAAGAATAGGGCGACGAATGTTCTAGCTGTCTCGAACCTTATCTAACCAAAACAAACTCTTGGTATGGTTTCGCTATTACCAAAACAGACGTTGTGACTTGGGTTCTACAGAAAACTATTGAATACAGACAAAAATTGCCGTGATTAGGTCATTTGAAGATGTTTATTGTAAAGGAGTAATTAATACTGATGACAAGATTTAGGGAGTTTTCGTTACCAATACCAATCGTGCAATGTTGTGCAGAACTCATGTTATATTGGTATTCGTAGGAGCATGTATCAGGTTCAGCACTTACTTGGATCAGGTCAAAAGCTTACCCATTAAATTTTGGTATTAGCCACAATAAACAACATAGAGGCAAGTTTTAAGGCACATTTATCAGGAAACTAAGATGCAGTCTAACCAATATATTGGAAATAAATTACCTAAACCGTTCTATTCATATTAGATACGTAATTTTCATATTTGATTTCATAAGGGCAGATGCATGCCACATATCTTTGGGTAGTGGTGGTCTTTTTATTTCTTTTTTAGTAGATAGTTCTTTTAGAAGAAACTGATATTAAGACGGAAATAATTCATTAATCAAAAGATTGCGACAAAAATAATAAGGAATTTCCACTTCACTCAAATTTATTATTAATTTTTTTTAGAAATGCGTTTTTAAGATTTTGGTTATCTTCTCGGTTATCTTAGAAGATAAGATTAATCTCAAGTAGATGATAATTATTAGTGTCGTTATTTTAGATTTATCATCGATTATTCTCTGATAAGTCCTAGAACTAAATCAGCACAATTAGTCATAAATTATTTGAAATCAAGATGAAAACATTGTTGGTTATTACTGTGCTATGTATTTTTATAAGGAATGCATATGGTAAGTTCGAATAGTTTTTGTAATATTATCAAGTACTCACATTAATCAACGATTGAATATAAAATAATCTATATGATTTTGAAAACAATAATGGGTTACTGCTTATCACTAAGATATCAAATATATTGAAGGTATATACAAGCTTAATTTGCTAGTTTCTTTGTGGATAAATTAATTAAATAAATTCTGTAATCTTGGAACATTGTACAGAAAGCATATTTCTGAGCTCATGTACTCGTATTCTAAATAAAATGATAAATATATTTAGTATTTATTGCTATATAAATAAATATATGTAAAACTTTGATCTACTGACTGAGTTTATCGACATCTACTATGAAATTAATTCCCAAATACAATTTTCACATATTATTTCAACGTTTCCAGGTAACATAAAATATTATGTTTTATGATGGTTGTGAGCAAGTAACAATCACAAAATTATTTAACCAAAGGTAGTATAAAGCAGTTACAAATAACCGTTCTTAACAATTATCAAATCTTTAGAGTATTAAACAGTGAAATTTATTAATATTTCCTTGGTAACTATCGTTACTTAAATTTCGCCACTTGAGGTTTTGAAAACTTATATAGTAGGTATATCAATAAAACCTATTCCTATTTTAAAATCATGTAAAAGTTACACAATCGTCTCCATTACTTTCAAAAATATATATCATGACAGTTATAAAAAGGTTATAAGAAATATTTCAGGACTTGGAAACCATTTAATATTTAATCTACATCGCGCATGTTCTCACTGTATTTCTATCTTCATCTTAATACTTGAGATGGATATAGTATTTTTTATTTTTATTCTTCGAAATTAATTTAATTAATTAACTTAATAGAAATCAATTCATACTTTTAATAACAACAGTGAAATAATACTTGAATCTTCAACTATGTTCTAAGATTTGTCATAATTACTGTGTAAAATAGATAATGGCAGCTAAAATCTGTTAGTAATAACTATTAATACGAAAAAAGTTATTGGTTACTTATTAGTTGTCACTTTTCATGAGTGAAAATTACATCAAAAGAAATGTACTTACTGTGTACTCAAAATTTTGAACACTGTAAATGATAACTAAAAGACAACGCCAAGAGTAAGAGACACTCAGTGTGAAAGCTTCTCCATATCATGTATATTCAGTTTCATATTACATATATGGAATCAATCAAAATCTGGTGTTAGAGGTAATAAAATATCAGGCACTCTAAATGCTGTTGTGTTTCATATGTTAAAACTGTTGGAACACATTCATATTGGAATAATACAAAGAGATTTTTTATTATTAACGTAGGTGATGACACTGGCAGTGATGGTTGAATTAAATATATAAACTTTTATTTTTATTATACCCATTATCATGACTATTTCATTAAAAAATATTGTAATGTATATGAATGTACAGGGTTTCACTATATTTTGACCCCCCTTTAACTTTGTTTTAAGAGTTATAAAAAAAATGTTAAATATAAAAGTTGCACGAGTTTTATGAATTTTTCGATAATGATAGTAGAAAAACAAATTAAGTCCAAACAAAATGGCCGCGGATGTTAACTTTGTTAAGTTAAATGGAACATCCTGTATATTTTTACATATTTGGATAGAACGTTCCCTGTAGAGCATAGCCATATAGGGTTTGTTGGGTCCATCTCTAACAATAAGCAAGATATTTAAAAAAACGAAAAGAAGGTTTTTTATTAAGAAAATAATACATCTTGTAATTGTTAGACCTCTTTCAGGCATTTCTGTCTTTTTTCCAATTACGTAAGGATTTACAGATTTAGTTATAATATATTTTGACAGATCGGACATTGATACGGTCCAAAGTGCGTATAGGTAATGTAACGAAATCTCACTAATTAGGCCGTGAGAGGTGTAATTACTCATGGATAAGTAGGTCGTGACAGTGACGGGTTGTAATGTCTTGACAACATTGTTATTGATTGACAGTATGTATTATTATTTAATTAAAATAGGTTACACAGAAGTAGAAAATTATTTAGAATTGAAATAGAGTATGGAGAAGAACTTTGTTCTATAATATTTCAATTTTCTACTTCTGTGTAACCCATTTTAATTAAATAATAATAAAAACTGTCAAACAATAACAATGTTGGCATGACATTACCTGTCACTGTCGCGGCCTACCATATAACATTGTCCATGTGTAATTAGGCTTCTCACGGCGTAATTAGTGAGATTTAGTTACAATAGCTATACGCATTTTGGATCATATCAATGTCCTATCTGTCAAAATATATTATAACTAAATTTGTAAATCCTTACGTAATTGGAAAAAGTCAGAAATGCCTGAAAAAGGTATTTACAAAAGGAACAATTACAAGATGTCTTATTTTCTTAATAAAAAAACCTTCTTTTCGTTGTTTAATAGTATCTCGCTTATTGTTAGAGATGGATCCAACAATCCCTATATGACTATGCTCGACAGGGAACGTTCTATCCAAATATGTAAAAATATACAGGGTGTTCCATTTAACTTAACAAAGTTAACATCCGCGGCCATTTTGTTTGGACTTCATTTGTTTTTTACTATCATTTTCGAAAAAATCATAAAAACTCGTGTAACTTTTATATTTCGCATTTTTTTATAACTCTTAAGACAAAAAAGTTAAAGGGGGGTCAAAATATAGTGAATCACCCTGTACTATTATGTATTTTTAATTTATTAATTGTGTATTCTTGTAATTATCTTCAAAATAATATAAGTATAACTTTCTGTATCAGTTCAAAACTCCTTTCAGTTACCTAATGCTATTCTTTGAAAGTGACATATCTGATTCAGACATGCAATCTTCCTAGTGAAGTAAACTGAGTAATAATAACTGGTATGATTTTCTTGGTTATCTTTGGCAACTACATTTGTTCGTTTCGGATGAACGTACGAAACTGACGACTTTATTATATTTTTTATACCTGCGTATAAAATACACCTAGTATATATTTTTTATAAACCTATACAAATAAGGGGTACAATAACAATACCCGCAATTACTTGTTTTTTTAAACATAATCTTATAAGGGTTTTCACAATTAAGCAATATTTTATATAGGCTGTAAATCAACCGATTTAAGCCTTCCGACTAACTAGACCCATATACGAACTATCGAGATCCAGATAATTTACAGTTAAAACACGAGTGACAGAAAATTTATTAGATAAAGCTGATCAATTAAGTTAAATTAATAATTTATGTGTTGGAAGATTAACTAAAGATAATTAAGTACCTATGACATAAAACATTTTATAAATAAATAAGAGGGATAATAAAATTACTTTGATCTATAAACCATCCTGTTCCTAATTTATTTGAAGCTGTAATTTGTTTACATTAACACAATTTTCAGGACAATCTGACAACTCGAGTTACCCGGCATTGGACCCCAGTTGGTCTTATTGTTACGAATTCACATGGTTTGGACCGGGTTATGACAATGTGACTAGATACAATGGTACTTGTTCGGATTATCTAGACGATAGCAGGGCCACTGGCATTCCCTGCGCATCACCGATTGTTATTTCATGTAAGTCAATTATTGACAATCAATCTCACCACTCAAAACAAAAAAATAAATATTACCATGAGTTGCTTTAATTGTCCAAATTTCATTGTTGTCATGGTAACGACTTAGAAGTTATAATTGGAATTTGTTTTTCAAACTTCTTAGCAACGAAGCCCGACAGGAAAAAAAATATATGAAGTACTACATCTATTTTGACCTCCCCTGTATACCCCTTCATTTTGGACATGACCTTAGCAGACACCCTGTACAATACATTTATTATGCTTTTTGCTTTGAACAACATCGGATATTCTCAATATTTTCCAAATATTTTGCTGATCCTGTTAGTTTACAATGTACAAATAGAATTAACTAAACAGGTTCTACCCTATTATATGTGTTTTAAAATAAAAAAAGTAGCCTGCAAAAGTTTTTCTGTTTCAGATGATGGCACTCCTCCTGATATGGACTATTTGTGGAAAAATCACAAAGCTAGTATCCTTTGTAAACGAAGTAGAAATCAAGTTTGTGTAAAATATACATATTACTTCAATAACCAGGGTAGGTATACATCAAAAAGATTGCAATATAGTGTGGAAAAAAGCTTGATTCAAATATGCGAGAAAATTAAAACATAATGATAGATTTTGATATTTTGTGACTTTTAGCCTTCCGAAAAATTTGCAAAAAAGTAGAATTTTTCGACTATAAATACGGGAAAATGATTCATAATTCAATTTTGGTATGTCATACACATTTTTTACTAAAGAAATTGACAATTCTCTAAATGTATATAGAATCTGTCTCTCAATATTTTGGTGTCTCAGTTGACTTTTGAGAAAGTTGGACGATTCTTTTGTCATAAATTAATATCACTGAAATTCATCTTCTGAAAAACCCCAAAATCGATTTCATTTTGGCCAATGCGAGAGCTGAAACTTATAATTACTGTTCTCTAGTATAATAATATGGAAGGCACGAATTTCCAAGCTACAAACGTTAAGTTATTGTTGTAAAGCGGTTAAGTGGATAAGTGTCTTACTTTGGTATAAACTTTAGCCCATATAGAATGTTTGCAGTTTGCAACTATGAGTCTTAGCGATTATCACAATGGAAATTATACATTTAAATCGAGTTTAATTGCAATTTATTACTATATTTGAAAATAGATTATGCACTACAGTGTGGTATGTTAAGTATGTTATGAAGTCGCCACGGTAGCGCAGTCGGTCAAGAGTGCGGTGGCAAGCATTTCTCGGCCCGGCTTCTTATTCTGGTCCGTGTTCGATCCCCGGTGTCGGCACTGGCAATGTCGATGGATAATGGGTGTTTGTCCGTGTTTTTTCAAGTGTAGCCCCCTTCCGCACAGCCTTTGGCTTTAGATTTGGGGGTTGTCTCATTTCTGTGGTGTTTTATGTTTAAACAAAAAAAAAGTCCTGATAATAAACTAGAGCGAAAATTTAAACTATTTTGCTGAAAAAGGTTCGTGGAAATTGAAAACTTTATAAGTTCATTTGATTGAAAGCAAGTAATTTTTAATAGAGATATTTTTATTATAATACAGACCACGCGGTTAAACATGTAAGTACATATTTATAACTTCTCGGCATAATTGCGGACCTATTTTGTTAATTACAGTTCGGATATTGTGTTCGAGCTCTTCAATCGAGAAAGAAATCCAGAGGTGTCAAGTCACATGATTTAGGAGGACAATTGAAGTCTCCCTGACGTGAAATCACACGTCCAGTAAACTGCTCACGCAAAAAGGCTATCGTTTCACGGTTTGTATGGTACATAGCCATATTCTGGTGAAAATAAACCAAATTAAGTTCTTCAATCGTAGGGCCAGTCGGTATTGAATTCTATTAACTTAGCGGTAACACCGACTTCGATTTCGAAAAAAATACGGCCTATGATGATTCGATTGTAGAAACCACACAAAATAGTCACTCGTTGTGGATGGAAAGGTTATCTGACAATCACTTTTGAGGTTTCAGAGTTCCAGATTCGACTATTACGCTTATTGATGTAAAATTGAAAAAAATCAGCGTCAATCTCTTCAAATCTTGCGTGGACCTTGTGAAGATGCAGTCTTAGATCTTTGTACATTCTGATTTGTGAAATGGCACATTTCTGTGAAGGATTTGTCGTAACACTTGCAGACACAACAACATTGTTTTCGTCTGATCTATGACTGACGAGCACGAGTTGGATTCTTAACATCAGCAATCTGCTCTGTACTTTCAAATTAAGCCACAAAATCCATAATTGCTGTACGAGAAGGCGCGTTTTTGCGACCAAACTTGGTACGGACTTTCCGAACTGTTTCCACATAATTGTCACCATATTTGTAGTGCATTTTTATTACCTACTTCTAAATCTTGCTCAAAGGAATATCGATCGTTTATTAATCGCGTTGTTTCAATTAACGGCTGCCATATGCGGTAGCGCCATCTATCGTCACAAGTAATGAATGGCGCGCTATTTAAAATAAAACCTCTTAATGGAGACCTTAAATTTCAATGAAGAAATATAATTTTCAGATTATTTGTTTTTTAATCTAACATGTCTTTACCACACAATTCAATAAATCGAAAGTAGTTCTAACGCTATTTGTTTTCCAGTAATCCTTTGTTCTCTTGTAAATACCAAAAATATAATCATTAGACATAAATAATTGACATTGGAAGAATTATATCAAGGGGAACATTTCTACATCATCGATTTTTTCTAGAAATTTATGATTTCGTTGTGTTTGAAATTTCATTTACATTAATGTCTATAATTTTTTTGAAAAAATGTGGATTTTAAAAAACTTTTAATACCCTGTTTCTAAAAAAAACTAAGCCGTTTAAGGTATATGTTTATATGGACATTCTCCCTTAATTGACTTAAAAAATCACTACATCTATTATCAGAACTTCTTAAGATACTCTCAGTGGATATAATATATGCTATACCTAAACATGTAAATATTCAAATACTTCATACGTATGTCATTTGCTAAAAATATCTTAATTGTCCTCATTATCGGAAACAAAGGTATCAGATTTGTACAGAATAATTGTGAGAATTTTCGTAAGATAACATTATCAACGTACTCCCAATAATTTTTCATTCATTTTACAGAAATCGATTCTCAGAATCAATTATCATTACAACTAGGTAGGTATGTTCTTAAATATATTGGTTGTAGCGTTGTTCTTTTTATTCAGTTTAGGAAATATTTGGCTTCATTTCGGAGCAATTTATTTTTAATAATAGTAATCAATCAATCAATCAACTAGCAATAATTTTTAATCAGGCTGTTTTGTTCTATACCTATAATTATATGAAAAGATGACGTATTTTAGCTAAAATTCTCTCTGACACAATTGTCAACCACTTTCAACAATGCCTCGATTCGTCAGAGGTAGGGAACAAATCGGCTGTGCCACTCGAAAAATCGAGCACTTACAAGCAGAACTATTCCCTTTATATAACTCTTAAACATCTGGAAATGAAACGTACTCCTAGAATATTGCAGATAATAACAGAAAAGGCTTTTAAAATATTTAGTTTGTACCAGTTATTATATTTCGTATTTCGTATCAAATTAAGGAAAATACGTTCATTACAGCAATATCTTATAATATTTTCTCTTATGAAATAGCGTTATTACTTTGCGAATATCTATAAACGATAAAGGTTTTTAACCGGATCTTAATTTTAATATCTCTAATGATAAGTCTAAGCCTCAGAATATTTGATATGGTAATCGCTGTAATAAATGTACAGTTTTTCCCCGTTAATATTAGTTGCAAATGTTCGTTGTCGTTTTTTAGATTAGCAGATTAGCCTCTTTTATTTTATAACTTTACACAGAGTGTTCCACTTAAGACGGGTTCTTCCATAGCTCTGGTAATATTAACGATACTAAAAACTGTTTTTGTGAAAGTTGCCTCAAATTATTTCTTCACATGTTAAAATTGATGCGATTTTCACCTTTCGTCCAAGCAAGAAAAAATTTATCATGTATTATTCACTTGTCACATTTCAAATATTAATTAGAGACATTAGTTCCAAATTTTTGGAAATGAATAACTCTATTTTTTTTAACGGAATTCTAAATTTGACCCATTATAAAACTGATCATTCTTTCAATTTTATTAAGATAATCTTAATTATCCTGTTTTTATAAAATCTTACATTGACTTATGGGAACTTATGACAAGTAAAATTTATTCTTCGTCTCCAAATGATATGCAAATTTGAATAAGGGCTACGGTCATTTGAAGGTATTATTATAGAAGATATTTTTGTATTTCTCTAATGAATTTTGTATTTTCGTTTTTTATGAATTATTTTATTATTAGTACGTATACAATTTTGCATTTGCCCTTTGCCTTTGCCATCACTTTTAATAAAATCAAGCGTGTTTCATTGGAATAATAAAATTGGTTAAATTATAAAGAAATGGGGCACCTTGTATACTACGATAATGTGAGCCTATATCTCATGTTTATAAAAAAAATTGGGGCAATAATATTGATGTCCATTAAAAATTTTTTATGCTTTGTTATAATAAATTAAATATACAAAAACAAAACAAGAAACTTATTAAACACATATACAGAGTGTTTCAATAAGAATGTTATTTCATATATTTTTTTTTCTTTTAGTGAACAATGTGACGCACATGTGCTCCAAGGTAATATCTTTGAATTCTAATTCCGCATTGACAGAAGGATGCTACAAACAAACTGTTGGCGGATACGAGACAGAAGTATGCATTTGCACATCGGGCCCAGGCATTTATAGACCCTGTAACGGAGCTTCTACATATATATTATCTTTAAGCTTGTTGTTTTTCTATACCTTGTATCATGTGTACCGAAATATATATTGAAAAAGTTAAGTAGGTGTCATGGAAGCTTTATATATTATATCTTAATTGTAACCTTTTTTTAATAAACATGTTTTGTATAATCAGCATTCATCGGAAAGAAACATGCGAATTGAGTTGAGTAAAAATGGTTGAATACTGTACCTGAATAATCAATATAACATTCAGTACAGAAATAGAATAGAGATTCAGAACACAAACTCAGTATTCACAATTATAAATACAATGTATCTATACGTATCCACAAACTTCCTTGGAACAATTGTCAGTTGTAATATTAGCTAACGTTGGTAATTATGAGTCTCAACTAACAGTTACAATGTCTTTCTAGTTAAGTACAGAGTTGGGATTTTCAATGTCTCGGTTTAGGGGCTAGGAGATTATTTCATAGAATCAGGAATAGATGCTATTTTTACTAATGGTGGCAAAGGATCAACAATATTTTAGTTATCCCACAATCTGCATCTTTTATACAATAACCTGTACATGTCTGCCTGTGATCTGAAGCTTCGCATCGATCAATTTATTCGTTCCATATCTAGCGCAACCTTAATACCTGTCCTGTCGGTCTGGCGTGCCGGTTAACAATCCATGTATTTTGCTGAGGGACGTTGGCTGTGCATTTCATTGTCGTTTGTGTGTGCGTGAGCGAGTTTGAGCTTGGTTGAGTGTATGGCACGCGTTTTTGTGGCAGTCAGTAGCAATTGTGTATTGTGAGCATAGAGCGGCACACGGTTTGACCACAGATTTATCCTATCAATTTGACGCTATACTTCTGGAAAGTGTTAACGCTATATTTCCAGATTGTGTAACATGATGATAATGCCTTTAGTTACAAATAATCTATAAGTTTTCAGGGATGATCCGACTACCACGATTTATGTGTCGAGCCAGTCAATTTGACACTATATTTTTACACTGTTGACAGAAGTATCAGATGCCACCGTTTCCTTTGAATATTTGAATATTTGAACAGGGATTGTCATTTCCGACATAGTAAGATTACCTAAATGAAGTTCAAAAGGTACTGTGGATTGGACGAGGAGGACCGGTCGTATGACTGCCCCGGTTTCCTAAACCTTCTCGATTTCTTATGAAGACGTTTAAAAAATTAAATGTACACATATTGAAGTTGAAACTATCGATAACTTACATAGACCTACTACAGCTGCTGTCAATAATTTACGAATTCAAGACTGGTTAGAAGAAGGAACATTTGTCTTGGTCCGTCAAAACCGGATCAAACTTGTCTAAATGTGTACGAATCTATGAACAAAATTTTTTACGGTTGTAACACTTCGTACATATATATTTTTTTAAAGAAAAGCCAAAGAAATTTGTATGTTAAAGTGTGTATAAAATTTTTATTAAAATCTTAGCTGATCGCTTTCGACTACATAGTCATCATCGGAGCTATTCCTAAAATATCAACAAGAGGTTGAAATGACATTATATAAAGCAAAAAATGTTTACTTACGTTAAATTTTAGATACCAAAAAATATTTAGGAAACGTTGAAAATCTTAATAAGTTCGACATAACAATATACAACATTAAATATAACATCAATTACTGGTAAATAACAAGAGAAAGAAACAGAAATTGACTAACAATGTCGAACACGTGGAGTGAAATAAAGTGAGGTTAAATGTTAAATGAAATGAAAATTGACATTCTACAGTTCTAAGGATTACCAACTAAGTGAAAACAAAAATTTTTAAAGTTAAACTACCAATATACTAATAACAAACTATCAGCTGTGAATTAATGAGGTTCCCAAAGATACTTGAATAAAGGTTTAAAATTACAGTTTAAATTGACTTGAGTATTAACACAGTTATTAGGGTTCCTTTTAATTTCTCTTAGAATTTCTCCCTTCCAATAAATTAATTTTATGAAAATCAAAATTATTATGAATATTATGAAGAATTTTGCTATTGTTTAAAGGTGAAAATGATTGGTTAGAAAAATTAATATGATGCCCAAAAGCTGACTTTTCAGGTCTTTTTAAATGTTCATTAATACGAATATTTAATGATCTTTTCTGTGTCCTTTTTGATTTCTTTTTTGTACTCTAGGAACCTTCGAAGTAATAATAAAATAACTGTTTAAAATTCGACCACTTAATTTGAAAATAAAATTTCAAATACCTACTGCTTGTTACTAAATTAATTTTGACTTTATTTGAAATATAGTAAATGTTCCTAGTTTAACAGCCAGTGAAACAGGAATGTCATGTCATCTTAACCTGTGTCGCATTCTTTTAATCAGCCAAAATGTAGGTATTAAGAAAAATTGGTAAATATTTTCATGGTAGAACAGACATTATCTTCTGACCGACCCATTGATCCTTATTTTGTTCAAATTAATTAAAGCCAGTCCATTCCTACTCTCAGCTTCTGTTATTAAATGAAATGAAGCCACAAAAAGATTGTAACTTTTCAACGGATTTTTTTCACTACTACGTCTCTCCAGTCGATGAAATTAATTTACCTAAAAGCCACCGCTCTTGAGGTTCCCGAATTAGCCGTACCAAGATATATATTAAATGCTTAAAAACTTCTGTTGGGAATGTATCAAAGCAATGAAAGGAGGAAATTATATTATCTTATTTTGTTATTCATAGTCGTTCGCCGTCCATTAAAAGTTTAGCCCCTGGGGCATATTTTGCAAAATAAAAGAGGAGCGTATTCCTGTGACCGCAGCGTCGTCGTTTGTTTAGTTGCCATTTCTCGCACCCCTTGACAATGGACAGAGAGTGGCGTTAGAGCCTCCTTTGAGGTTGATATTGCAGCTATTATGCGAAATATTACTTAGCCAGATAGCACCGAGAATAAACATAAACAATGGGACTCTTCTGGGTTTAAGTTGACCGAGAGCAACTGAGTGCTGAATAAGGTGCAATCCGTCAGTCAATATGACATGAAATGATAAAGAATAAAGAATGTCGAACTAACGTTCATATTTTGGATGCAAGAATATTATCTCATTTAGACAATTTTTGAAATATGAAGAATGATAAAATTTAAATTCTACTGATTGAACTGACGGTGGTGTTACGCAAATTTTGGTCAGTAACTGATAACACAGCCACACAAAAAAGAAAGTTCTGTTCCAGAGACATTAGGGACTTACTCTTAAGACAAAGTTCAGGAGAGTTATTTTGCAAAAAAATGAGATAGTGTAGGCTAGTCATTCGATGCGGTAGTATAAAAAAATTAAAAAATTATATCTAACAATATCTCCTTAAAAATGTTTGAAGAAAGATTACTGTTTTACAGTCCATGCATGTCTGATTGGAAAATCATTTATTGTATTGCCAATTTTGTAAAAACCGTTCACAAAATTATACTCTTTTTGAACGGTTTAAGGTATTAAAGCTTGCAGTTACTGTACATGAAATGGACAAAATCGATTTCCATGTGAGGTAGCCCATACTTTAGAATGAGGCTCCTTGAATTGCTGTGCATTACTTTTGGTACCAGTTTGATCTTTTTCGGTGATGTATAAAGCATCTTCTGCAACCTTCAGCTTTGTAGGATCTATCTGTAGGTGTGCTGTTTCTTAAGTCCTTGGGGCAATAATAACTTATGAGCAGCCATGGTAGCATTTTGTTGACATTCCCCGTATATTAATACCATGACAATTGATTCACCACTTTAAACACGGAAATTATATAGTGTATTATTTAAAATCGAAGACGCCACTTTCAAGTGAGTTTTGCGTTACTTTTGTTGTGCTTTTGCCGGGATAAAAAGAAAACATAAAAAATACCTTGCATAAAAAAATAATACGAGTTCTACATGTTTCTAAAATGTCAATAAAACTATATATTGTTAAGGATTTTTTTTATAGTGAACAAAATTTAGTGGCAGTGGCAAACATTTTCATTAGCTACCTATTTCAAATTAAAAAACTTAGGGATCTGAAAAGCTGAACACAACTCAAGACTTTTTAAATACAGTGGGTCCCAGAAGTAAGGCAAAAAATTCGTATTTCATTTTGTGTTGCGTTTTCACAAAACCGCTGAAACACGTCAGTTAGTACACAGGGTGATTCAGAACACATTTGGGCCCGTCTTACTCAGTTTCTACGAATTAACACAAATGTCTTGCTTCACCATAACACAAATGTTTCACCATAATACAAATGTTATCTTGCTTCACCATAAATTAAAACGATATCCATCAACTACGAGTTGCTTTACACGCAAGCCATTTTTGACACTAACTGCTAAAAAACTATTGTAAACACTATCGCACGACGATTTTAAAATCGGATTTCAGTATTCGGAGTCGCGGAGGCCACATTGCTCTCGACGCGTATTACGAATGACTCTAGAGACTACAGTTGTTCAGCGATGTAATGCTTGAAAGTACTACAACTTCAGTATTTTTTCTCGGAAACTATACGGATTTTACAAAATTTTTTTTTGCAGTAAAGTGTTTTTCCTCTAGGAACGCAATGTTATGAATGAATTAAACACATTGAACGCGTTTTATTTTTTTTAATAAACAATTACAACAATAATACAAAGTTATTATAATTATCATAAAGCCGTTGATATACGAAACCGCAACCGTCTCTCATGAAACAGATAATGTGATTTTCTATAATTAATTAGTCAATTAAATTTCTATTTTTCAGAATATTAAAAAAAATCCTCAAAGCTAGAATCTCTAACTTCTTAAATAGATATAATATTATATCAGATAATCAGTACGGCTTTAGAGAGGGGAAATCAACTGAAGATGCTATACATCTTTTGACTTCATATTTGTATGATGCACTGGATAAGCGTACCCTGTTGTCTGTATTTTTGTTGATCTCTCTAAAGCATTTGATACCGTATGCCATAAGAGACTGCTGGAAAAAATTGAATGCTGTGGATTGAGAGGTAACGTATATAAACTTTTGAAGAGTTATCTGTCTGATAGAAAGCAATATGTGAATATTGATGGGGTTACTAGTGATGCAAGAATTATTAGTTATGGGGTTCCGCAGGGCACAGTGTTGGGTC